CCAACAACAATTTTAAAATTAAAATGACCATAAAGATGCAGGAAAATAATGGACTATAGTAATTAGATACTGTTAATTTCCCAAGATTTGTCCAGAAGAAAACCATTAACACTAAAACCATTTAAAATTTTTGTAACTAGAATCAGTAAGTACTGAGCATTACTACATATTATCATTATTTTCAAGATCAAAGAGAAAGCAAGAAAAAAGGCTGTATTTTTTAATTTAAGGATTAGAATTAAATGGGGGCACATTTGAGAAAAATACAATGGCTGCTTCCCCTGGCTAGCGAGATGATGTATGTGTGGACGAAGGCTAGCTAGCCCTTCAGGTCTGGAGCACCACTTCTGTTGCTCCACTTATCCAATCAGCACTGCTACTTGGAAAAGTATCACATGGTTAATACAATTTTTCATGATTCAAATTCAAACTCAACCTCCAAGCGGGCTGACAAGCCCTGTTATACTCCAAAGGGAACACAAGTGCCCCGGACCCTTGTGTAGCTAAGAATGGCCAAATGGTCTGAAAAATGAGACATTACAGCAAAATAAGGGGGAAGATGGGAGATTTCTAGTAAGCAACTTTGTTCAGACACATCCTATTTCCCTTCCTCAGCCTCAAAATAATCAGATTCAAGGTTGAGAGAAGAAATATAGAATAGAAAGTCCCTTCAGCAAAACAGATGACATGGAATACAGAATTTCTGGGCAGGAAGATAGAGTAGAAATAGAAGGGAAGAAGAAAACACACAATGTGATCAAGAAAAAAAGGAGTCTGTAGGAACTTCAGGACTGAGGAAGAGAGAAGATAGCTAGAGGCAGAGAAAATATATTGAACAGGGTAACCCCATCACAGTACAAGGAGTTTTTGAAATGCCCACAGATCAGATAAGAACTTCTTCACAACATATTATAGTTAAAACATCAAGCACAGAAAAGAAAAACTAGTAAAGGCTGTGAGAGAGAAGAGCACATACAAAGGGGACCTATCAGAGTAACAGCAGGCTTCTCAACAGAAACCACAGACGCAAAGAAGCTTGTACGCTGTACTTCAGGCACTGAAAGTAAACTATGCCAGCCCAGAATACTCTCCCCAGTAAAGCTTTTATTCATAAATGAAGGGAAAATAAAAACAGTCCCTGATAAACAAAAACTGAAACAATTTATCACCACTAAACCAGCAGTACAGATGATATGGAAAGACATCCCACACTTAGAAGACATAAATATGAAGGAAACATAGTCTGCCAGATGAGTAGATAAATATAGGAGGAAGAGATACAAAACTAAAATCTGGGAGGGAAATGACAGTTACTGTATACTTTTTTTTAACATTCAACATCCAATCAAAAGACAGAATGGAAAGTTGGAGCAAAGGGAAAGATGCAACCTTTTGTGGTCTACAAGAAATATATCTAGGCTGGAAAGGTGGCTCAGTGGTAGAGCACTTACCTTGCATGCCTGAGGCCCTGGGTTCGATTCCTCAGCACCACATAAGCAAAAAGAAAAAAGCTGGAAGTGGCGCTGTGGCTCAAGTGGTAGAGCACTAGCCTTGAGCTGAAGAGCTGAGGGACAGCGCCTAGGTCCAGAGTTCAGGCCCCACGACTGGACCCCCCCCCCCCCACCAAAAAAAGAAATATATCTACCTCATAAAAACAAACACTGCCTTATGGTGAAAAGTTCAGAAAAAAATCTTCCAAGAGAATGGATTCTATAAGCAGGCAGCAGTGGCGAGTCTTATATTGAACAAAGTAGATTTCACCAGAAATTAGGCAGAAGACAGAAAGGAGGTCATTTCATAGTAGTAAAGCGAACTCTCCACCAAGAAGACACAACAATTCTTAACATCTATGCACCATATACTGGAGCACCTAATTTTTTAAAAATAAAAATGACTGAACTTAAAAACACACATATGATGTAACTGTAACCCTTCTGTACATCGCCCTTACAATGAAATAAAACACACACACACACACACACACACACACACACATTCCTCAATACAATGATAGATAGAAACTTCAAACACCAACTCTCACCAGATTTTTTTTTTTTTTTTTTTTTTGCCTAGATCATCCAGGCAAAAACACAACAGTGAATCCTGGTTCCAGGCCACACAACCAACCGGAGGAAAATGAAAGTAATGGTCTCAATTATGATTTGCAAACACACTCCAGTTAAAAATACTTCAGACTGTATTCTTTAGCTGAATACATAAAATAACAAACTTTATCTCCCAACAGACAAAAAAATTCAAAAGTAAATTATAACTATGTGGTTAAACCATAATATTAAAAAAGAAAGCTTTTTTTGTGAACACCCAAATAAGTCCTCCCACATGCAGCAACACAAAAGCATTTTTGCCTTTCAGGTTTTGACAAAGCCTGTTGTGGCAACAACTCCCTCCCTTCCCCGCCCCTCCTGTCTTGATTCCCCCACAGCTCGAGAGATGCTATGGAGAACCTGGTATTTATCTTCTAGTACCGTCAGCACTTTTCTCCTCTCTGATTTCCATCTGGCTCTTTATTTGCTATTTTCAAGTTAACTTGCTGGAACTTACAAAAAATGCTCACTCTCAGGATCAAGCCTCGTGGATGTGGTTTCTCTTCACCAGACATAATTTACAGAAGGAAGTTCAGACAGTGAAGACCACCGGCAAAAGGTATGGAAAACAAGAGGCGTCTGAAATGCTCAGATACCTAAGTACAAAGCTGTGGGTATTGCAGAAAGTTTAAATTACGAGTCATATATCTATTTTGAAATATTATTTCTGATATGAATAAACTCCGTTTGGACTAGCTTCACATGTTAAAGAACTCTACTGCAGGCTTTGTTCTGCAGTAGTTTATAGGACATCCTTAGATGGTTCTGTGTGTAGTGATCAGAAGTGTGAATGCTCTGTCTATAAACCTGAGCCTGTGTGTGAAGTGTGAATGCTCTGTCTATAAACCTGAGCCTGTGTATGAAGTGTGAGTGCTCTGTCTTATAGACCTGAGGTAGTGTGCGACACCTTTTCTCTGGGGCCAGTATTTCTCTACCATAGCTGCTATTACTACAACCATCGAAACAGAGTATGCATTTATTCTTTCCAAGAGAAATCTAGAGAAAAAGCCACAAATTCTACTATGCCTGTGGCTAGAGAAGGAAAAAAGTCTCATTGTAATGGAGGTAAAATGCCAGGATGTCTGACGAAAAGGAACGAAATAGTGACCTTCACTTAAGAGAAACAAACTCTTTCTACGTAAGTTCTCTGTGGAAAAGAAAGCGTTTGAAGTCCTTATTGCACAGTAAGCAAATGCTGCACTAACCAGATATAATGTCATACTATTTACTCCCACTTTGCCTGTCTGTAATCTATCATTGCCAGGACTTGTTCATTATGATGTACGAGTTATTTGCCAGTCTAAATGACACGGAAATGTATAAAATGTTTTGTTTAGTGGGAAGAAGATACTGCCATTGGTAAGCTGATCATAGATACATGAACTTATGGACACGTCGATCTGACGGAAAGCCAACTGCCAATCTCTCGGTGGAAATCCCCTAAGATGGAGGTGGTTTGTGCAAGCATTTTGAGCAAGCTGGCTAGAATGTGACATGCTAAAACCCCAAACTGAAAACAGCTACCATGAACCTAAAAATGTGCTTGCCTTTTTCTCCCCCACTAGAATCATTAGCTTCTGTTCTATTTTGGTCTCAGATAAGAAAAGAGTTTGGGAAAGAAAAAGCAAAGAACTGAGACAGCAAGCAAATCCTAAGCACACTGATGATGACGGACTAATCTGAAGCTAAAAACTTAAAATCCCAGGGCAATCTTCTTGGAAAACTGTAGGGTTTACACTTCAACCTTAAGAACAAAAGTAGAGCAATTCAATCTAGACAGTCTAGGACTAACACCTCACAGAATCAAAGCTTGTTAAGCAAAGTTTGTACTTTTCATATGGGCGTGAAATTAACAAAGTATATAACAAAAGCCAGACGTGAACCTTCTTGGTGAGTTATTCAAAACAGAGCCATTTTCTCAATCAGGAGCCTATGGAGTCCTTTTCTTTAACCAGGTGGGAAAGTGGGTAGGTGAACTACAATGAATATGCTTTTTGGAGCAGCACCTCCTCTTCCCTTAGGAGGTACACTAGGGGAAAACTGCAGCAGGCTATGCTGCTCTAATGGGAAAGGATGCTGGATGAGGGAGGTAGCGGAGGAACTAGCAAACCCCTGCTGAAGGCTGGAGACGCTGGGCAGCTTCCTATCTGAAAGCACTGCTCTGAGAACATAATGATGCTCTAGACTACAGCCTAAATTCCTGTCAGTTCTGAGATTACAGAAAAATCACAATGAAGTCCTTAGGCCTAAAGAAAGAGATCCAAAAGTCTTTAAACATCAATGGTCACAAGTTACACAAATGTCAACTGTATACCACTGAACACTTTCTGTGGTTGAGCAAGTATCATAAGACCTTAAAATGTATTTATTTAACCCTAGGGTGCAAGTACTATGATCCTATTTTCTACAACAGAATACTAAAGCCTAGAAGGGTCAGGTAAAGCCAAAAACCCATCCACGCTGCCCTTGCATGAACCATCTTTTTCTGCATCTCATGATTAGAGTCACCCTAGCATGTCATTCAAAATTAATTTCAAAAGATTAACAAAAAAGCCAGTGCTGGTTTGTGAGAAACCAGACCATCCTATACGAAAGGCAGCAAGCGCACCAGCCCGAGTGGACGGGACGGGACGATGGAACAGGAAGTCTGTGTGTGGCAGCCAGCCACAGAGCTGCTACTTGTGTGGTGGGATGGGTTATTTTTGGTCCATTTATTTTTGGTTATGTCTGGAATGGGCTTTTGAGATTCGCTGTCAGTTTCTGAGTTGTGTGCAGCAGCTTGAACACTTCATCTGAGCCAGGGGTGGGACAGGTTTGGGTTTTACCCTAAAGGCAAACCTTTAGTTTTCTCATTCCCCAGTTGTGACTTGGTCTTCTTTCCTTAGTTTTATTTGGTTTAGCGGCGATCCTGACCATACCCCGCCTAGTTCAGCCTCAGGATCTCTGTGGGGACGGAGGTAAGGCTGACACCATGACCTCGGCGGGGGTCCAGCTCCTGGCTTTCATCCTGGCCTTATCTGGGGTCTCTGGTGTGCTCACGGCCACGCTGCTGCCCAGCTGGAAGGTCAAAGTGGACATGGGCTCCAGCATCGTCACCGCAATCCTACATCTGCAAGGGCTGTGGATGGACTGCACGTGGTACAGCACCGGGATGTTCAGCTGCACCCTGAAATACTCCATCCTGTCTCTCCCCAGCCACGTGCAGGCAGCCCGGGCCACCATGGTCCTGGCATGCGTTCTCTCCGCCTTGGGCATCTGCACTTCTGTCGTAGGGATGAAATGCACTCACCTAGGGGGGGAAAGGGAAACCAAGAGGCATGCTTCCTTTGCCGGAGGGGTCTGCTTTGTGGCTGCAGGGGTCTTGGGTTTAATACCGACAGTGTGGTACATGAAGGAGATCATAGCCACATTTCTGGACCTGACAGTTCCTGAAAACAATAAACATGAACCTGGAGGAGCTGTCTATGTTGGATTCGTCTCAGCAATGCTACTGTTTATCTCGGGTATCATCTTCTGTACTTCCTATGCAAAGAAAAATCCAGAACCTTGGCTCCACCACCTCAAGCAGGAACGTATCTTTGCCACACAGCTAGAGAATTCTGTGTACAACCTGAAGGATTATGTGTAAACAGCTATATAATGAGTATGCAACAAACCTTCTGTGTGCCGCCAGGGTTTTATATTAGATTACAAAATCAGACTTATGCTTCTATTCTTCTACAAAGACAGCAAAATAAAAAAAAAAACCTCTAAGGTAGTTTCAAATGCTAAAAAGACCACCTATCATTACATGTCTTCAATATCTTCAGATTTCCACTATGATTTCATTTTTTATCTAAAGGTTTATCATTAAAAGAGGTTCCAACAACATTAATAGGCAATACACTGACATCATCTTCTTGCTTTATAAAATCTGCTACCACTTCTAAACTGGATTTAATACTAGAACTTAACTGCTAAGTATGAAAGCTTCTTGCCTTGGTGTTAATAAAGAACACCATCTGCCTTTGCCCTCTGGAGGGCAGTGCCCAAGGAACCTGCTTTTGCTTTAAACGCATAAGGCGCAAGGGCCCGGGAATGGCAGGCCGTCCACTCATGCAGGTGCTGCCCGAGCCCACAGCCCGAGCCCAACCTCTGTTCTCAGTTGAAAAGTCTGTCTACATGCATAGTCATGAAAACTGAGATTAGGCAGAAAACACAAATTGCTAAGTGCTGCTACAGCAGAGAAAAACTAACCCAAACACCTACGACAATCTCGAGGACTTTCAAAGCATTAAGCACAAAGTGAGAATCCATGTTTATTTTAAAATGCCCAAAGACTCTCTCTGCAAAAGGATACTCCAGGTTAAGTTCAGCTTTCTAACAACAATTTTACCCCATTTCAATTTATTTGACACATTACTGAGTACATAACTCTTTTTTTGGACCTTACTATATATGTAGGATCTTACTATATATTCCAGGCTGAACTCAACCTTGCAATCCTCTCACCCTGGCCTCCCAAGTGCTGGAATTACAGGTGCGCACCAGTAAGCCTAGAGAGTAAGTTACTTCTAAGCTGTGTTTTTATTCTTAAATTTGGTCATGCTACCAAAACATTGTTCTTGAATAGATGAGCAATTCTGATTAGTTAATAGATGTGAAATGATTTTTTAAATTTTTTATTATGAAAATATCATACAGAGGGATTACAATTACATGGGCAAGATAATGAGTACATTCTTATCAAGGATTGTTGCTTCCTCCTTTGTTTCCCCTTCCTATCCCTTCCCATATCCCGCTCCCCCCACCCATTGCTTCCCCCTTCCCCCGCCATGAAATAATTTTTAAAGTATAAGGAATGCTTTGTAAATATAGGTTATAGTAAAAAAAAATAACTGGACTGTGTATAGGTGTACAGGTAATACTGCAGTGTTGTTTTCTATCACTTATTTGTTAACATATATTTAGTAATTGTTCGTAATTCAATGCCTAAAGCCAAAAGCCTTTTTTGGTTTTGTTCTTTAATAACAGGAAGAGTGAAGGATATTTTTGTTTTGGTCAGTCATGGAGCTTGAACTCAGGGCCTGTGGGCTGTCCCTGAGCTTTTTTCAAGGCTAGTGCTCTACCCCTTGAGCCATAGCTCCACTTCTGGTTTTCTGATAGTTAATAGGAGATATGCATCTCACAGACTTTCCTGCCTGGGCTGGCTCTGAACTGCAACACTCGGACCTCAGCCTCCTAAGTAGCTAGGATTACTCATGTAAGCCACTGACACCTGTCTGGGAAGGATATTTTATGTGTGTGCATAAGACATAGAGACTAAAATATTTTATAGGCTTATTTGCTTTACTATCATGGCTATTAACAAGAGAGCAAAAATGAAAAGAAATTATTTCATGAGAACTAAGAAGGGAACCATTTCATCAAAAATTTAAGTGATTATTTACAATGGCTATTCCTTTTAAATGGTCAAAATAGTATTTTCTAAATAAGGCAAAATGCCACATTAGAAAAGAGTACTTACTTGAAAATTAATTTCACAGGACTGCTTTGAACCCGCATGGTTCTCTCCCTTAGCTGAGTGTGCCAGTGTTGTAGACACTACCACATGTCCTATACTAAAAGTCCACTTTGATAAATAACTTTTATTTACCTTAGGAATGTTTTCTTCCTAACTAGACTCAGGCATGATACAAACTCTCAAGAGGCAGCCACTTCACACAAAATAAAGGTAGAGCCTCCACAGACGGAGTGGATACAGTGGTAAGGAATGGCGACATCACAGCTCTCCCTGTGTGGCGCATCCTCTGCCGCGGGCCTCCTAACCCACAATCCTCTGCTCAGCCATTCTCCTCCCCATCCACTGTGGCCTACATGAGTCCCCTCAGAGAATGCAATCCGGACTCTCCAAGGACACGCTAGCTCTGCTCGCAGAAAACGCTCCATTTCACAAGTCTTGGGGTCACATGGTGACATCTCCACGCAGACTGGAAGACAACAGATCATTCTTCCCTGTGAACCCTCAGAGGCTGCCAAGTGGTAGTCCAGCTCTAAACCTTTTTCATACAGTGGCTAGCTTAAAACTTCCTAAGGACGCTACCAGGTGAGCACAATTCTAAGTAGAGTACAGGAACTGAAGGCAAGCAAGGTCCAGTGAGTCATCTAACTTGCCCAAGACAGCCCACGAGGAAGTAAGGAAGTGATTCCGCATGAAGGGCGCAGGCTTCAGAGCTGAACTGCCTGGGTCAAAGACCTCAAGGCCACTGAGTGTACTGACTCAAAGAGCAACTCGGTTTGCTCACGTGAAAATGTGAGATAACGATGGTCCCAGGCACAGAGCACGCGTGAGGGTGACTGAGATGATGGATACTAGGCAGTGGGTACAGACAGCAACCTTTAAAGGCTGATTCAGCATGCAACTGACAATGAAATCCATTATATAGGGGGAGGAGGGATTGAATTCCCAAATGAGGGGGACAAAAATGGCAGAAGCATTACAATGGTGGCAAGAACTTGCAGTTGTCTGAAATGTGTTCCAACATACATAAATCGGCTTCTATTATAGGTCAGAGTTCTCATTCTACATCTATATGCTGTATCTTTGTTCCTCATCATGTTGTGAATGGCTAGGGCAGGCTTGGTTCATGACGGGGTGCACATCTATCTGCTGTATCTTTGTTCCTCATCATGTTGTGAATGCCTAGGGCAGGCTTGGTTCATGACTGGGTGCACATCCTGTTGTCCCCTCTGTATTGCTGCGTCCCCAAGCCTGGCGCTTTTTTAGAAGCAGGTGCTCAATTCAGTGAGGAAATGGATGAGTTCTCCTAGCTCAGCTTCTGCAATAACGTCTCAAGTAATGGTCTACACTAAAAGGCACCAGCTTCAAAAAAATTTGGCACAGAAACTTAGTTTCTATAGTTAAAACTTACTCGTGAAACCAGCACATAGGAGCAAAAACCTAGTTTAATAGCCCCAAAATATGAAAAACCTTCATGTCAGCAAACAATGCCTGATATAGCATTATTTCTAAGTATCAGAAGCCACTGATTGATTTTGATTTCTTATCTCAATGACCACAGAGCCATATAACTTATCTTCCATACTGGGAGACTTTTAAGAGTAGTAGGGGATCATGATAATGAAGCTGACTAATACCACAAAAACCCTGAATTTAGTCAAGAAGAACAATTTGAGAATACCAATTTGTACTGCAATTTTGGGTTCTTCTTCAGGATAGGTTTTTTTTTTAAATAAGTTTTTTATTGTGAACATACTGTACAGAGGAGTTACAATTACATGGGCAAGGTAATGAGTACATTTCTTATCAAGCACTGTTGCCTCCTCCTTTGTTTTGCCCCTGCCATCCCTGCCCACCTATCTCCACAACTACACTCCACCCCTCCCCGCCCCCCAAGTTGTAAAGTTCGTTTTTCGACATAGCATCTTGCAATGGGTCCACCTGTATCCCTATTTAAATAATTTGTTTTTTGCCTTCCCCTCCCAAAATTATACCAACATCAAATACAGTGAAAACAGGGGTTATACCGTGGGGGAGTCAAGATATGTTTTAAAAAAGTTATGATACGATTTGCATGTAAATAAATATTAGATCCTAGAGATTATTTCCTATGATGCATCCTTGGGAACAAATACTACAACACAGTTGTAACTTTCTACTATTTATGACATAAAAATATACCTGCTTAGAAACCAGCAGAAGTGTCAGGTGCCAGTGGCTCACACCTGTAATCTTAGCCACTCAGAAGTCTGAGATCTGAGGATTGCGGTTCAAAGCCAGCCTGGGCAGAAAAGTCCTCATGAGACTCTTTATCTCCAATTGACCACTCAAAAACCAGAAGTGGCACTATAGCTCAAGTGATAATATGCTAGCCTTGGGCACAAAGAGGCTCAGGGAGAGAGCCTCCAGGCCCTGAGTTCAAGTCTCCAGACAAACAAATAAACAAAAAAAGCAGAGGCTTACCTCTGGTTTGGGGACAAAGGCCTGCCCTGGAATGGTAAAGAGGTGCTTGACGGTGCAGAGGTACTGGGCCATAATGGAAAGGCGACTGCGCTGTTTGCTTCCTGTAGTGGCTACGAGTCTCTACAGAAGGACAAAATTATATTTCAGTAAGTAATTAATCCAATTAGACCAGACAGGATGGAGCCAGCGTCCCATTATTATTGATTCTAGATTATTTATGGCAAATTGTAAGAATACAGGCTGAGGAATGACACATAGCCAGCCTGGGGAATATTTCCCTCCAACATTATCAACCAAGGAACACCTTTTAATTAATTGTCAATTATTATCATGAACAATACATTAAAAAGTCATTAAGAAAACTTTCTTAAAAGCAGCTATTGGGGATTTTGAAACCACCATTTCATTCTAAAAGGTCTTGCCCAAAACAACTAATCAATAAGTATTTGATGATGAAATTCATGAGCATATTGAAAAACTAAAGATGCTTAAATACTTAATTTTCTAAACTACTTCAATATATGAATAAAAATTTAATGCTTTCTTTTATTTAAATGTAATAAACTGCATATTAAAGAATCCTTGACGAAGGTGGGCATCGGTGGCTTGTCTGTAATGCTGGCTACTCAACAGGCTGAGATCTGAGGATCGTGGTTTGAAGCCAGCTCCCAGAGGAATCGTCAGTGAAACTCTTTTTTTGGTTGGTCTTGGGGCTTAAACACTGTGTCTGGGCGCTGTTCCTGAGCTGTTTTTTTTTTAACTCAAGGCTAGTGCTGTACTACTTTAAGCTGGTTTTCTGGTAGTTAATTAGACACAAGAGTCTCAAGAACTTTCCTGCCCAGGCTGGCTTTAACCACAACACTCAGTTCTCAGACTCCTGACAGGCTATAATTAGAGGTGTGAGGCACCAGCACCTGGCTTTGTGAGACTATCTCCACTAAAATCACCAAAACAAAGCTGGAAGAAAAGCTGTGGCTCAAGTGGTAGGGTGCTAGCTTGAATAAGAGGAGAGCAGGGACAGTGCTCAGGCCCTGAGTTCAAGCTCCAGACTGGTACTAAAAAAAAAAAAAAAAAAAAAAGAGTTCTTGATGAATTAAGTCACTCTTGATTGATAAATTTGCAAAATAAAAACAAAAACCAAACCAAAAGTGTAAGAAATTATTCTTTCAAGCAACTGAATATTTTATTTCAAAAATATTAGATATATGCAAATTCATAATTCCGATGCAATTTTATTAAAAACCCGAGATTTTAAAGAAAAAAATACACACACATACACACCTGTAACTGACATCTGACATTTATTTTTATATATAAAACCTACATAAAATTAAATGCCAAGAACTCCTGAAGAATAGCAACAAATGAGAGCACTCACCACTCTAAACATCAAAGGTAAGGCCGTAGTACTAGAGGCACAAACAGACCAATGGAACAGAGCTTTGCCAAAGACTCAAGCAGATATGGACATCTGACCCATAACATGTACTACATCAATTGCTAATGGAAAAGGATGGACCATTCCATCTGGCCCCAACCTTGTACCATAAATGAAAATACTAAGTGAATCAATGGTTAAGTGAGAAGCAAAACCTTAAGATTTTCCTAAGTATATTATCTCCGACCCCCATGTGTTATGGATACAAAAGCAGAAGCCACAAAAGACTAATACATTTTACTATTAAAATTAAGAATATATGTACAATGCAAACATTGTAAAGCTAAATAACAGCCTGAGAGAAGGCCTCTGAAGAACCAAAGGATTAGCATTCATACTACGTACTAGTCATTAATAGGATAAGCCATAGACAGACAGGATGCTGAGGGAAGCATAAAGAGTAGCCCAAATAAATCATCACCATAATATGTTCAACCAAGTAACAAAGTACGGGTATGCAAATTAAAACCAAAATGAGATGTAGAGTCATTTCTGTGAGATAAATACCAAGCTCTCAGGCCAGTGAGAGTGAAAATTGGTATAAATACACATAACTGGGCAGTATGCACAACAGCTTACTGACCTTGTGTAAATCCACATGACCTTTTAGGTCTACCTTTGGGAATGTGTCTTAGGATAGTTTATACACTTACACAAAGAGACATGTGTAAGAATGGTCAATGTAACATGATGTACATTATGAAAAAAAAACACCTAGTTCAACAACAGGGAGTAAATTATGGTAATTTTGCCAAGAGATCACAAAATAATTATAATGAATAGAAGAGGTTATTGTCATAGGATAATTTTCAAACTAGAGGAAAAATGAAAGTGGTAGAAAATCAGTATTGATCTAATGATATTTATCTACAAACCTTAAGACTCTCCTGTTGTTCTTTGTGCATACAGACACCTACAGTAACAAGGAGAAAATGTGCTAAGGGTAATGAGGCTCATCCAGAGCAGGGGAAAAAAGAGAATAAAAGAGGGATCCAAACACATTTACAATGTTTTATTTCTTTAAAGAGGTGAAAATACAGCAGTATATTGGAGCTGAGTGGTAAGCAGAAGGGTCGGCCTGTTCTGTGTTCTTAGGATAATCCAAACCTCTTGTGAGTACTCAGGGTCAATGTTATAAAACCCAGGGAAGACTGGAACATCCTGGTCACTCAAAGTAGCTAGAACTGCACTAAACCGTCAGAAGTACTTTGGGCGCTGGGTGCTGTTGGCTGAGCTGGGTTCAGTGAAGCTTCCTGTTTCACTAACACGTGAGGAACATTTCAGCTAGGCTCTTTGTTGCTTCTAACCTGCTTTTGGTGGGAAAACCACATTATTTGGCTTGTTAGAACTTTGTCTTAAGATTACAAAATTGGTTCTGGGAGAGAAAGTCCCAAAAGAGAGCCAGGCCTTGTTTTACCACAACCCAGTGCCCTCTTTTTATTTTAAACAGGTCAGCTAAAATTATTGGGATGCCAAATGTAAGAAATACTTCTTCAGGAAGAAAAAAAAATCAGTTTAATTTTCTTACTGAGATTAATGTAAAAAATTCCAAATGCACTGTAAATGTGTAACATCCAACTGGCGCAACTCAAAACAGATCTTTAAAACCAAATGTAGCACAGACAAAATGACAAAACTAATAAAATGAATCTAAGAATTGCCTACAGTTTTGAAATGATTATTTCATCCTGGATTCCCTTCTTTTTAAGACCTAGTTAATGTTTTACTTTACATTTGAAAGATGTGCTTCAAATGATGAATTTAAGAATTTAAAATCTCTCTAAAAAAAGGAAGCCTAAAAGGCAAGAAAATATTCTAATTGATGTAAAAATACACTCCAGCATATTTCATCTAGAAAGCAAAGTATCCAATAGTCAGGGGTGATGCCCCAGTCTACAGCCATTTCTGTGCCTAGATTGTGGAAATGAAGACATGTGAGCCAAGGGCTTTAATCTGGAATCAAGCAGCACATGTAACTGTCCCCAACTTATTCAAATTCAAGTCACAGACAAAAAAGCTCTATGAAAGACTTCATTAAAAGCTAGCTTAAAGAGTTAAATGGTCTGCCAACCACTATTATGCACTGCGATTTCTAAAATAGATATTATAGGTGAAGCTATGAATCTCAAAATCCATTAGGATAGATGATTTTAACAACAAAGGCCAAGAAATAAGGCAGTTAAAAATGTTCAGTAAAAGGAAACCTGTCTAACCCCTGAGCTTTTAAAAGCATTCTGATTGAGTTTGATAAAAACAAGGGGTCAAAGAATTCACAAGGACAATGTTAACTTTTTTCTCCTATTCATCTAAAATAAGTTTAAGTAGAAAAGTTAGGCTTACAGTTGAGAAGGTACACATCTTTTGCAATTAATTATATAATGAGTGTAGAGGTGCCTCCTTTCCTGCTGGGGAGGTGCTTATAAACAGCCCTGGCCTTGTGGAAATGACAGAAGACAAAGAGGTTGATGTTAGACCCTGTTAGGAAAAAACCACAGGCCTGGGGCTGGGAAGGTGGTTCAGTAGTAGGGTAGTTGCCTCACATGCACGAAGCCCTGGGTTCAATTCCTCAGCACCACATAAGCAGAAAAAGCCAGAAGTGGGGCTGTGGCTTACATGGTGGAGCACTCGGCTTGAGCTGAAGGGGACAGTGCCCAGGCCCAGAGTTCAAGCCCCAAAACCAACAAAAACAAAACAAAACAAAACAAAAATCCACAGGCCCAACAACATGGAAAACCTGAACACCATGACTTCAACAAGCCTATGACTTATGTCAAGTTCAGCCTGCCTATAATTACTACATGAGCTTTTAGAAGACGTTAATGGAATAGTCACAGGTTCACAGTATTTGATCTGAGCATTATCATAACCAGGCTGTCTGACTCTGGACCTTCTGATGTATGGCAAGCTTCACATACAGCCTAACACTTGGTGGGCAAGCCTTTCTCATCATTCTTTTTCATCACTTATGTATTCTTGCAGGTGTGATCCTCAAGAAAAGACGCGAAGTCCACTACATATCGAGGTAAATTCACTTACGATAATGACATTAGCTATACAAAACTTTTTGGAAAAAAAACCCAGCACCTTTTGTTTCATTCCCTTCTACATTTAGTTTTGTACTGATCAGTAATTCAATCCCCAACTTGTGTAACTATTTTTCAATACATGTAAATATGATCTATATGATCATGTTCTGCGTTCTTAATTGGCTCTGATCTGAATGTTTTTTCTGAGGAGTTCCTTCTCTCTGGTCCATACTGGGAATTCTGCTTCCTGGATTTCACATCATTTTCTCCTTGGTGTCTCTAATTAGAGCAAACCTTATATGACTTTTGCAGAGAAGTATTGTTAGAGGCCACTGGTGATAATAAATAGGACTAAATGGGCTTATTGGGACCCATGTGTCAAAAATAGTAAACTGGTTCCTTATTTCAAACACATAAATCAACCCCAAGTGGACTATGGGTAGAAATGTGAAATATTAAACATAAAGCTTTTAGAATGCAACAGAAAGGTATCTTCATGATCTCAAGACACAAAAAGTACCACTCCTGATTTTCAACAATGACAACATGCAACAGAGCAGACGAGGAAATGTCAGCACATATAAGTAATAAAGGACTGGAACAGAGAACATGTACGGACTACCAAATCAGTGGAACAAGGACAGCCACGCATGAGAAGATGAACAAAAGCAAGCAGTTCATATGCAAAACATCAAGTGACTTGAAGGCTAGTAAACACGTAAAATTCATTAAAGAGCAGAAAGATGAAGTAAAATATCATGACATGCCACTACTCCCAGATTAACAAAAAAAAAAGGGTATGTCTGGCAAGTCCTACCAAGAATATGGAACAAAATGAACACACGAACACATACACACACGTATACACAGCTAGTGGGAATGAAAATAGGCATAATGACTTTAGAGACCATTACGCAGCAAGAGTGAAGATTTGCAATGCCACTTCTGGGCTCATTCCTAGACAAATCTCATTCTCATGGCCCAGGTGACATAAATATAAGAATGTTCATGACAATTTTGCTTGTAATAACAAAACACTGAAACTAATTCCAAGTCCCCAAACAGGAGCCTGGACAAATTATGACAAGCAGTACATAATATACATAGCTATGTAAATTACAAATCTCAGGAGCAACCACGAAAGCAAATACTACACAAGATGTTCAAGGTAAGAAGAATGAATACTGTGTGAATACATCCCTATACAGCTCAATGTGGGGCCAAACCTACACCGTATGACTTATATGGATATAAATCTATGGGACCCAGTTCGCAGAGAACAATGAATTCAAAATTCCCAGTTCTCATTGCCTTGGAGGTCAGGACTAGTCAGGAGCTGTCGTCAGAGTAAGGCTGAACAATGAGTGTGTACAGCCCCTTCTGGACCTCTGCAGCTCAAAAGCTGCTCTTGTCTACCTTGGAGATTTCCTTCCTAGAGAGATGAACTTGGAACACTACCATGGGAAGGGGCAGCAGAAATTGGTGAGTTGTGTGCACACATGTGCAGATGTGTGTGTGTGTGTATGTGCACGTGCACATGTGTGAAGGGTTAAAGTCCATATACTGCCCCCAAGTAATTATCACACGGTTTGACTCTCATCCTACTGAGTGCAAAGAATCGGTTCTAAGGCATCGCAGGCCAGTGTTTATGCACACATCTGTGGCTAATATTGCACAGCTTTCCTCTCTGGTCTTGCCTAAGGTAATGGCCCTCATTTTCCACACTGGTTTTTTGGCTGATACATTGGTTCTTTTTCTCTCTACAAGTTTCCAGCAGTTACATCAGTGTCCTCATTGTATGCCTACCTTTTGCCTAAGATTTCAGATTTTGTTTTTTCCCCCCTGTGTAAAATTAACATAGCACATTCAGACAGACATAAAATTGCAGTGTTGTTTTGGAATTTGATCATGTGATAAAATGTCCAAAAACAGTTCAAACTTACCTCAGCAACTTCCTTTTGGAAAGTCAAAGTCATCTGACTTCTGCCATAAGCAAAAGGCCCATTTTTAAGGGCAATATTTTCAAGCCACTTGATAATTAGTGGGGTTGAAACACTAAAAGGCAAATTTCCAATAATATGTACCTTTGGAGGATCTGTTTGGCAGAAGAGGAAGAAATAAAACCTCAGATAACTTCATCAATATATGAGAAACATTATTTTAATTAAGAGGAAAAAAACAATTAATTAATAGCATCAAACAAAAATATACAAAAAGATATAGCTGAGTACTTTTTAGTCCATTAATTCTTTAAAAGCATTCTAAAGAATTATTATATATATATATATATATATATATATATATATATATATATATTTATAACCAGTTGTATAGCACTAAGGAAAAGTTCTATCTAATTAGTATTTAGTCAGTCAGTGAAAGTCCTCAGATTTCTGGTTTAGGAAATCTATGAAAGAGAGTTTATTTGAGAGAAAGATAGTTTTCTTTGAACATGAGGAGGTAAAATGCCTCTGGGGCTGCTGGAGTATCAGATATCCATGAAAGGGACACAGGCTAGATGCAGGATGTGAATGCCCTCAATATTTAGGTGAAAAACGAAATCACAGGGGTGGAACAACCTAGACATTCTGAAGCATGGGATGTCCGGAAAGAAAAACTGACAGAAAAAGCACCGTAAAATGGATGACAAAAATAACCAATGGCAAAGAATAGTTACAGCAAGTTCACAAATGCCAAAGTAAACACAGAAGGTACTAGGCTCAGAGAAGACAGAAGGTGGAGAATAGCTAAATGAACGCAGAAATGTAGTCAGATAAGGTTTGAAACAGGAAGGTCGGTGCAGTCCTAGCATAGCTGAGGTGCGGCAGAGGCCATGGGCTATGCGCTGGGAGGGCACATTAGCAGGGAGACTAGAGGAAGGCCACTGGTCACCTGGACCTAGAGTGGTCAGACATAGGAACACAGTATCTAGATTCAGATGTGTCCCTGTCTTTCTTTCATTTGTTCTCAGAGTTTCTGATAAACAAGAAACAGGGAAGCGTGTTCTGCAGGCTGGCACAGAGCAGGTAACACTTGTCCCTGAAAGCATATAACCTTGGTGGGTCACTGAGGGTAAGCCCATCACACTTAGCACATCTTTACTAGCACCAAAAAAAAAAAAAAAAAAATGACAAGTTTATTTGCACAGAAAAATAAACATGAAGATGTGAGTCAAAGCAATTAGAATTAAAAAGCAATTACAGTCTGGGCACTGATTATAGGCTCTCAGTCTGTAATCCTATCTAGCTTTGAGTGAAAGCTAAAAGATAGCACTCAGGCCCTGAATTCAAGCCCTATCACAAAAAAAACCCAAAACAAAACCAAACAAAAAATCCTACATTTTACATTTTAGAAGGAAGAAGGCAAATTGGATAAATATTACACAAATTATGTCTTTTCAGATATTTTGATATAAAAACAAATTTACAATGTACATCTAATACAATAAATATTTGACAAAGGAATAAATAATGAAGTGGCGCTATAGCTCAAGTGGTAGAGCAATTGCCTTGAGCTGTTAGAGCTCGGGTACAGCGCCCAGGCCCAGAGTTCAAGCCCCACGACCGACAAAAAAAAATTAAAAATAAATAAACAATCACAAAAGAGGTGGATAAATAATGACAAAAAAAAAACCCCAAACTAAATAACTCAGCGAACTTACCATCCTCCCAGAGTCTTTTTACATTTTCTGGAAAAGCCTTTTCTATCTTAAATGTCAACACATCTCCATGCACAATCCTGAGCTTCCCAGGTGCTGCATCACAAAGCATCTAGTTTACAAAAAGGAGAATAAGGTAAGCTCCCACACTTCAGAGAGAAATAGAACATATTAAATCAGTAGAAATGGGAAAGATGAGAAGCGATCACTGATAAACTGACAGTGCGCGATGTAGGCTGTGTTTACTACACACAGGATTGTGGGTAATAACAGGTAACTGTGCAATAGCTTATAATTCCACAAATAATATGTCAGTATAGCTTTAACCATCAGAATATGTTCTATTTCTGCACAGAACTCAGCATAAAATCAACTCATTTTTTTTTTTTTGGTCGTGGGGCTTGAACTCTGGGCTTGGGTGCTGTCCCTAAGCTCTTCAGCTCAAAGCAAGTGCTCTACCGCTTGAGCCACAGCACACCATTCCGGTTTCTAGCGGTTTATTGGAGGTAAGAGTCTCACGAACTTTCCTGCCCGGGCTGGCTGTGAACCTCGATCCTCAGATCTCAGCTTCCTGAGTAGCTAGGATTACAGGCGTGAGGCACCGGCGCCCGGCTCAACTCATATCTTAAAATGACTAAAGAGAGTACAATGAGATACTGAGAATTAGGCATAAGCCATATAAAAATGTAAGCTTGGGCTAGGAAGGTGGCTCAGTGGTAGAGCGCTTGCCTTGCAATGCATGAGGCCCTGGGTTCGATTCCTCAGCACCACATAAGCAAAAAGAAAAAAAGCCACAAGTGGCACTGTGGCTCAAGTGGTAGAGCGCTAGCCTTGAGCTGAAGAGCTGAGGAACAGCACCCAGGCCCAGAGTTCAGGCCCCACGACTGGACCAAAAAAAAAAAAGAAAAAAGTAAGCTTAATTCTACTTAGTCTTTACAGCCTAAATATACAAAAAGGATCCTAGCCTTATCAAGACATTTAGGCCACAGATACAGTTTGCCATGATCATTTAACAATAACACCTCTGATACTAACATATTTAATGATTATTTAAAATCACCATTATTTGTTAAAAATTAACCTGATGGGTTCCAGGCAATAAATCTTAGAAAACAGTAATTTCAGTATGTTGAAAAGTTAAAAGAGTTACCTCCCTATGGGACATGCACTTATTGTATAAACATTGAGAATTTAATGATAGCATTTACCAAGAATAGAGAAGGCTGAAGTTTTTCCTGTAATTATGCTTCACGTAATTAAAACAAATAAATTAGCCTATTGAAAATAAAAATGCAGAACTAAAAGCTTATGTTACATGATGTCAATATAGAAAATAATTATGTAATTAGGACTAAAAACAATGTAAATTTAACTCCTTGGTATTAATTTATATGCTCTGATAACCACACTTGAAATGTTAATATTTCTCACACTTGAATACAACTGCATACTCCAAATCTGATATAAATACAAATCTATCATCCTTTCCCAAGTTTTTTGTTTTTTGTTTTTTTTTGGTTGTGGGGCTTGAACTCTGGGCCTAGGTGCTGTCCCTGAGGCTCTTCAGTTCAAGGCGAACACGCTACCACTTGAGCCACAGTGCCACTTCTGGCTTTCTGGTGGTTAAATTTGGAGATAAGAGTCTCACCAACTTTCTTGCCGGGGCTAACTTTGAACCATGATCCTCAGATCTCAGCCTCCTGAGTAGCTAGCATTACTGGTGTGAGCCACCAGCTTTTCCCATATTGAAAGGAGCATTTCTCTTCTGTTATCTTTTGCATTCCTACTCAGGTTCAAGTCTCAGTTAAAGACAAGCCAAATCCACCCTGTGGGAGTTCCACCACGTCCAGGACTGCTCTGTAGCCTCCGCTTCCCACATGCCTCCCCAAGCAGAGTGCATGGGAACTAGCATCCACTGGCTCCCAGAGGGCCTTGAAGGAGTTATGGAGAAAAAGTGGATGTTGACTGAATTGTTATTACGATTAGACAACAGCTTTTTTTCTTTTCTGTCCCGCAGTTCTGGGGTTTGAACTCAGGGCCTCAAGCTTGCTTGACTAGGCACTCTACCACTTGAGCCAAACATCCAGCCCTGCTTTGTGTTGGTTATTTTGGTAATGGGAGTCTAGGGAACTTTTCTGTCTGTCTCTGAACTTCAGTCATCTAGCTCTCAGCTTCCTGAGAGGCTAGGATTACAGGTGTGAGGTGTGAGGATTACAAGTGTCTGACCAGACAATAGCTCTGACAATAGCTGTGTGTGTGTGTGTGTGTGTGTGTGTGTGTGTGTGTGTGTGTGTGCGCGCTGATCCTAGGGATTGAACTTAGGGCCTAGGCATTGTATAGCTCTGACAATAGCTCTGTGTGTGTGTATGTGTGTGTGCGTGCTGATCCTAGGGATTGAACTTAGGGCCTAGGCACTGTCCCTGAGCTTCTTTTGTTTAAGGCTAGCACTCTACCACTTGAGCCACAGCTCCACTTCCAGCTTTTTTTGGTAGTTAATTAGAGATAAGAGTCTCACCAACTTTCCTGCCTGAGCTGGCTTCAAACCCTGATCCTAAGATCTCAGCCTCTTGAGTAGCTACGATTACAAGTGAGAGCCACTGGCAACAATAGCTTTTCTAATACCTAAATAATGCCCAGTAATGATAGCTACAATAGGAGAAAATGTTCTCATTCTGATTATGCTACTTGGGGATATGGTGAGTTGTGTACAAGGAACACCACAGTTCTTTAAGCACAACCACGGAGGTGTACAGGACAGATGACCACGGATGCATGCAAATGAATATCTGTATTCTCACAAACTATATCATTTTAATTTTAGCTTTCAATCCTATGCTTTTCCAAAATCAGATGTAACACAGCTTACATTAAATATACTCATTAACTAAAGAAGGAAAAGAAAACAAAATCATGAAAAAGAGCAGCATCTCCATAACACATGACCCCTAGTCATTGTTAGAAGTTTTAACTCCCACAATTTGCACCACGAAATACAAAATTCTTTTTTTTTTTTTAATTTTTTTTTTTTGGGGTCTGGTTGTGGGGCCTGAACTCTGGGCCTGGGTGCTGTCCCTCAGCTCTTCAGCTCAAGGCTAGCGCTCTACCACTTGAGCCACAGTGCCACTTCCGGATTTTTTCTTTTTGCTTATGTGGTGCTGGGGAATCGAACCCAGGACCTCATGCATTGCAAGGCAAGCGCTCTACCACTGAGCCACCTTCCCAGCCCGAAATACAAAATTCTTACTCTCTATCAGAATTAATTAAAAGTCTCCAAGACAGAAAGTGGTTTTCTGGCATACAGTTTTGAAAGATATACGAAGAAACAATGTAATGGACGTGTCTTTAATAAGAATCACAAACAAGAGAAACAAATACAGAAGATTTTTTTCTATAGCTATTTAAAAAAAAAATCCACTAACAAGTGAAGTCATACTGAAAGCTTTTCAGCAGGGGGTATGTAACTGCCGTCCACCTGGGCAGCTTTTTTATTTAATTTGATGAGAAAAGAATTCATGTAATTCTTTGGAACTACTTTCCTTGAGAACAAAGACCTATATCAAAGGGCCATTCTGTATATTTTATGCCACCTTCTCACAGTGAGAGTGTGACGGCAGCCAGCCAAGGCTTCACAATCAGCTAAGCATTAATTATCTTCTTCTGCTTTACCTTAGAGAAGGGCCCAAACACCACTGAAGTAAATAACTTGCAGAGGGGCAGGCAACAATATGGAAAGAATCCATGATATGAAACGTGATAGATGAAAAATTTGTTCTTATGTAGAATGCAGAAGGAAGACAGATGCTGCTATTCCAAAGACATAATGTTAAAATAGATCTCTTCAAGAGAAGATGACCATGACTTCAGTTAATTTGCTTGCTTTTTTTGCTGGTCCTGAGGCTTGAACTCAGGGCCTAGGTGCTATCCCTGAGCCTCTTTGTGCTCAATGCTAGTGTTTTACCACTTGAGCCAAAGCACCACTTCTGGCTTTTCCTGAGTAGTTTATTGGATATTTCCTGTCCAGGCCGGCTATGAACTGTGATCCTCAGATCTCAGCCTCCTGAATAACCAGGTTTATAAGCACATGTCACTGGTACCTGGATAATTTACCTATAGGACTAGAACATGTATAGTAGAAACTCATTTACCCTACCCCTTTTCTCGATGACCTTGGTCACTGGTACCTGGATGAGGGCCTCAATGGGAGGATCTCAATGGTTATGGACATGTGTTCATCCCTGACCATTCATTTCCTGGCTTTTTATTTGTCTCACCATTAGTAACTGCTTCTTCTTGTTGCGGTAGCTGGAAAATCTGCTTCAATGCTAGGTCTGCTCCTAGCAGTGATCTCTGTCTTTTCAATTCACAGTGGACTTAGAAATTGCTTCAGCTAAAAGACACCTTTTGCTTAATTGTGGAGTTTTCCCATTGATTTATGACTAACTACAGTTCTATTAAATAGCTTTCATGTGTATAGTAAGCATCTGTTATCACAAGACAAAGAAGGAAAAACCCCTTCCTTTTAAAATATATACTAGTGATATATGAATTTCAAAATTTCACTATTTCTAATTAAAAATAGCTCTTCCTGCTGGAATATCTAAATTACTTTACATGTCTGCTTATTTAGGAAGGAGACTAAGTATAATAGCAATCATTTACTGGCTCCTGGAAGTATTATAGTATCTTCACATCCATTTCTATCTGTTCTGTATTATACATCAAAGATAACACACATGAACTTTCAACAAGGGAAAGCTAAAGCTAAAAAGTTCTAACAGCAAGCTGAGGCCATAAAAACAGTAAGAAGCACTATGTTCATGAAACAATAGATCTCCCTGTATTTTATAAAACAGAGGCAATACTAATACTAGTCGATGAACTTACTTTCTCTGTAGAATTTCATGAAGCAAGCCCATAACATTGGTTAAGAAGAATCTTTGGCTAACACAATACATTAGGAACTAGAAATATTCTCCTCCTTTACACTAATAAGAGATGAAATACATGAAATAAGAATTTTCGTATTATTAGACACCAGCCTGCAGATCTAAGAGGACCAATGTACCATAGCTTAAAGAAAGTACACAAAAGCACATCATGATAAAAATGCTC